TATATATATATATATATATATATATATATTTTTTTTTTTTTTTTTTTTTTTGGGTTTTAAGGGCTGGTTGTAAATATAGGAACAGTAAAAGGACTGATTTGTTCTGATAATGCAGAAAGCATTTGTCAGTGGGTTTTTCCACATTACTTGCATACAAGCAGTTTCAAGCTGCTTTATTTATGACATGAGCATATCAATTATAAAGTTAATTATTTATCAGTCGTTGACCCATAAGTAGTAGCTCAATTAATCACTCCTAACATCAATACCTTATAACAGAAAAAGGCATAATGGCTTAGTTTCTGTGTTTCTTGGTCATTGATGGTTTGCTGAATTGCGTGGAAACGCCACACTTTCTCCACAGACGCTTTATAAATGGGTTAATGAGTCTGCCGCCACGTGACCCTCCAGTTATATAATATATAGGTCAGCACGTTTCCCGCTGGCACGTGCAGCCTTCTTTCTTATGTAAAGTCTCGTGCAAAGGTCTCGAATAACACTATGTAGGTGAGCATCATAGATCGTTTATCTTAGGAGAGATGTATCACTCCTTTAGTATTTTCCCAATCCGTTGTCCTACAAATTTCCCCGTATTGAATGTTTTCACAAAAACACACAATAATAATCGACTTTTAATGTGTCTACTTTTATTTGAATCAATTTAGAGTTGTAATGTGTTGATTATTCATGTTTAGTATTGGCTTATTTGCTTTATTTGACCAGGCATAACATAAAAAGCAAACTGATTAAAAATATTCACATACATTGCGTCATTTTTTCTTGTAGATTCAGTGCTGCTTCAAGATAATTATTTTAGCTCAAAATATGTTTTATCTCTTATAAATAAATTTTCTCATCGCTCACATGTAGTCCAAAAAAATCAACGACAGCATAAAAAAATTTGAAGGGATATAATTAACACAAGATTAAACAAGGACCACAGTTGAGTGTGTATATTGTTCAACTCATATATACATATATATATATATATATATATATATATATATATATATATATATATATATATATATATATATATATATATTATATATGTGTGTTTTTATTAAATAGCAACAAAATCACATATTCATGTTCTATCTTATGATTGACTTTTGTAAATTTAAGAGTAGAATGAGGAGCTTTCATTTCTTTGTATCATTAAAAGGTGTCAGAACAAAGAAGGCTCCAGTTCTTTAGCACCTGCAGAGAAAAATATCTGGTATTAGAAAAAAAAGGACAGAGTGAGACCTCGCTTCACACATCTTTTTTTGAGAGGAAACCGAGGAAGCTCGCGGCAACGTCAGCTCGGTGACGAGCTCGGGGCTCTGATTGAGGTCACCAAAACGTGAACGGTGGGGAGGATGGCAAGCCATTTTATCATAAATTCGGTTGTACCGCCTTTACATTCAAGATATCTCAAATTGTTTTATGACTAGACGTTTTAACAATTTAAGATATCTCTAATTATATTTTGACTAGTCAAAATACCTATTCGAGATATCTCTAATTGCATTCTGACTAGTCGAAATGACGTCAGATTTACCATTAACTTGTATGGAGACTTCAATTTAAGATATGTAGAATGAATCACTGACTATCTGAAATGCACATTTCAGATATCTACAATTAAATTACGACTACTCATAAAGTAATTTTGAAGAATTTTGACTTGTCAAAAGGTAATTTAATATCTTGAATTATTATTCTTCCTAATCAGAATGTTAATAGATAAATAATAATAATAAATAAATAAATAGCTAAAAAAAATGTAGACCTGTAAATATACAGTCATACGTTTATTATTTAATATTACTATTTTTTAAATGTATTTATAACTATTTTCAAGGCTGCACTTTAAAAAATGAAATTGTCTAGAGCTGTTTTAAACACAATTTATTTTTGTATACACTTGTGTATATAAAATGACAAAATAATAAATAAATCTTTCTAAGATATCTTAAATTAGTCAAAAATAGTCAAAATGTGGTTTTGTCTAGTCCAGGGGCCGAGCTAGATGGGGGGCCAGGGGTGGCCACCCCTACCATTTATCTCCCTCTAATACAGATGGTGGCAACAGTAATACTCTCAAGTGGAATATTCAAAACATTTTACTTTTTTAAATATTAACAATTACATGACAACAAAAACACACTGTGGTTAATTATACACATCAATGTAGTAACATTAAAGATAAGTACAGAATTAAAGCAGAAATAGATTTTGTGTTTTATGGGGTAGAGAAAAAGTCATCTAGGAGTCTTCAGCGAAATCATAGATAAATAACTATTTTAATAAAAACGTATTAAATAATCAATTGATGTAGATAATAGTACTTGTAAATATCAATTTTATGCAGAATGATTACTGTTAAAAGTAGGTAAATAATGACAATGGAAAAGATCGCCCAAGATTAGCCCCAAACCTAAACCTGAAAGAGTTTTATCCACTATAGCACGGATGTTTGAATATATTCACCTATTTTTTTTTTGTTTTTAGCAAAAGCTGTGGGAAAGTATATTTTGTCTTTATTTTGAAATTATGGATGTTTTGCTCTTTAATTTTCCTGTTGAACCATAAAGTTTTGGTGGCTATCTGGTTATTCCCTGGCCACCCTTATAAAAACTTTCTGGCAACGCCTCAAAATGTATTTTAAGATATATGGAATGTAATTAAATATTGTCAGACGAAACTGAATTTATGTTAAACGGCTTGCCATAGTTTCTTTCCTTCACTCCGTTGCGGGTGACCCGACACTACTCGGCATGAATCAAAAATGATTTCACCGGCTCTGACGTGCCTGTTTCCTCTCAGACTATTTAAACCCCAATGCAGCGAGAATATAGAGGTGTTCCCAGAGATTATAAATAATCCGGCGTTCCCTATAAAAAGAATCTTTATGAATGAACCTGAGGAGCAGAGTGAACTCTATCCTTCATCCTTGCCCTCTATAGAAAAAGGGTGTTCCTCTCACGCGACACATCACTCACGTTTCTCCCCCCCTCCACACACCGCCTTCTTTGTAAAGAAAAAAATAGCAACGCGAGAAGGAGGAGGGTGAGGGGGGGATAAAGAAAAAAAAATGAAGTCAATTATACAACACCCCGACTATCTGTAGCTCCCTCCTTCCCAGCGCCTCCTCTATGCTTTAAACTCCAACAGCTGGTGGCTCCACATGCGCGGCGGCGCTCCGTAGCCTCTCACCGCTTCCAGCCCGCAGGCATGTCGGCCGGGGGCTCCGGCGGCACCCCGGACAACCCGGCAGGTAAGCTCTCACACCCAGACCTTTTATTATTTATACATTCATCCTCTTTTTTTCTGCATTTTTTGCCCTCATACACAACAATTGTCTTATATTTTCCTTAAATGTTGCTTTATATATATTTAAATACACGTTTTAACATTTAATATACATCCCGATAATCTGCATATAATGTATAGATTAAGTTAACCACTTTAAACTAACAGGTTTTGCCATTTTTGTCCTGTTTAATTAGTCGCGAGCCCCAACATCGTTTTATTTAACGTCCGCGAGACGTGCGCGTCTCCGCCAAGCACGCGCGTGGACCGGATTTACTGCTTTTATCTCTATTCCGCTCTGATGAAGCATTTTCCCCCCGAAAATCTCCGCCATATTCAATACGCGTTAACCGTCAGAAATAATCATAAAACAAACAAACTGCCCTGACAGGAGCTTAGCAACCCCACAGTCACGTGTTTTCACGAGGCGATATTTCCCGTTTAACCGTGCAGGGCTTCCTTAATGAAAAGTGGGTCAGTGGATCAGTAGAGCAGCGATGCCTCGGTTGCCCAGCAGGGGGAGACAGACGGTGGGGAGAGCAGCTGGATCAGGATGCTGGAATGTCAGGCACGAAAAGACTTCCTCACGAAACAGCCAGGGCACGAAGGAATGCTGGAGGAAAATGTGCAGAAAATATGTGATGTTATAAACTAATAAATCAGTATCATTTTTGATTATATGTAGCAATGAGCTGAAACATACTTCTACCATATTTTTTCCCACACTTAAACAGAGGTGGATATCAACTAGTTTAATTTACTCACTTAAATTTAGTTCAATTAACCCTTTATAGGGCACTCAGTGAAAGACTTTAAATATATAACTTTCAAACAAAGAGCAAATAACTAAAATCTAAGTAAGTAAATTTTTCGTAAAATAAGTTTATATTTTCTTAAATTGAGTAGGTAAGTGAGACACTTTGCCAATGGAACCAGAATAATTACATTTAAAATAAGGGAAAAATACATTCTCCTATTTCAAGTGCATAATGCCAAATAATCTGAATTTAAGGATAAAAATGCTCCTTATTTACCTACTCAAATTAAGGGTAAATACACTTATTTTAAGACATTTTCACTACTTTTAAGATCATTTTTCTAATGTGTTATTGGAATCCAGGACTATACTATATTACTTTTGTAACATTGAAAAATATGGATATTTTGATGGCAAAAATTAATGTAAATGTAATAAAAAGAAACGCCAACTTGCCTGAATATATTAAGAAAAATAAGTGCTTCTATAAGAAATGAATGAAAACCCTCTGAGAGTGAAAGAAACACATTTTTTTAAGATACAACATAACCTTAGAGGCTTATTAACCTTTTAACTTTTCAAGTGGCTTTTTATCTTTTTTTTTTTATTGACTTAACTTTTTTTTCAACTTAATTTACAGTAGGTAATAAATCATTCAAGGGCTCATCTATTTGGTCAAATGCCAAAATGAGATGTACAGCCATGTAGCGGTATCTTTGCTGAATGGCTAGATATAGATCTTGTGCTTCTAGACCTCAGTGACGGACGGGGGGGACTCCATTTGTAAGGGGGATGCAAGTGATCAATAACTGTAATTTGCCCTGTAAAGTGTTAAATAAAAAGAATAAAAATACTTCCTGAGTAGTACTTTTTAATTCTACTTGAGTGGAAGTATGATAAAGTATAACTACTGTTACTTGAATAAAATGTCTGGCTGCTTCATCCACTGTTTGAAAGAGTAGAAATAAACAGACCCCAGATTTTGCATATCAGTTAATAATCTGTTCAATTTTACATCATTTTGTGAAATATTAAATAAGTTTAGTCTTAATTGAGTAAAAGTATGATGAAGTAGTGCTACTCTTTCTTAAGTAGAATTTTTTCATTACTTACCAGCCCCTGTATTTAATTATTTATATCTTTAAATATATTTCTGAGTGGGTGAACAAATTCAAAATACTTCTGTTTATTTCAGGCTTGAGAATAAAAATGATCATACTATGCAAAGTTCAGCTTTATTAATCAAATCACCATTCTCATATGCTGATGGTTAAAACACGGCATGGCAAAAGTTTTCACTGGAGTTAGTTTGTGCAAGCAGAAATGGAATAATGATGCTGCCGTTATCACCAGTAATAGACTAAATGATGACCTAAAATAAGGCTTGAACAAAGAAAAAATTCTGTCATTTCGTTAACGACTTTAACCCAGCCTTTCCTTTCCATTGGCTGTCTCAGTTCTCGCATGCATTAATAGTTCTTCAAAGAATAGCGCAAACACTTTATACATTTTATAACCTGAAAATAACAGAATACTGTTATTAAACTTCAGTTTTAAATTAGTAAGAGGCTGTGAAACTTGCTTTCCTTTAAAAAACAAACATGAAAAAAAGCTAAATTTCAGAATAGAACTCTACAGCCATCTCTTTTCTCTAAGATTGACTATATAATGTAATTAATAGGAAAATTTATTCTTCTTAAACCCTACCTATTTAAAAGATTTTTTTCGATAGACCAATATAACCTATATATAACAGTAGAGGTGCATATTGGCATGGGTGTTGCAATATGATACACGTGACGATACTTAGGTCACGACACGATATTATCACTTTATTGCGATATTGAATGTATAGATAAAAAAACAAACCTCTGTATATGTTCATCAGATGATATTGATCGCTTAGTTATTTTGGCATCCACGTTGTTTGGGGTTTGAGTCAGGCTACCAGGGGTTGACGTTAAGGATTTTTACCACTTGCCCTTTGGGCAAGTGGCTTTCACATTTCATTTGCCCATATCAATGAAATATTTTTGTTTTTTAAATGTTTTTTTGTAATTCAGTAAGTCTCCAGGTTCCTGGTGTGCATATGCATGCGTCAGATATTGAACTCAAGTCTACATTACCGTGTTAACATGCTTTTCAATCCTTCCTGCACATTCTTTTCAAACTAAACTTTGCTTTAAACTGTTGTGTGCTTGGAAAAATCTAAATTTTAATGTTAAAAACCTAAGAAAAACTTTACAGGTTAAAAACTTACACTACTACTACTCACCAATTTAACATGTTTAGCTCTATAACATTTGAATGCACCACTCCAATGTCTAAGAGAAAAAAATGTAATGAACATTTTTTAATGTATGACCACTGTACAGAAGACTGCCATATGATAGAAATATTTACACTGTGCACATACAGTTATTATTATTTTCCTAATCCCTGACTGATCATTTTTAATCTAGGGTGTATTATAGTATAGATTAAATTCATCATCCAGCTGCTGCTCTGCAGAATTCTCTCCCCAAGGAGAGAAAAATTGCGCCATCTAGCGGAAAATCACACGGCTTTTTCAAATCACGCGAGAATGTGTACAAAACACATTCTCGGCAATGCTTGTGGGTCGTTTTCAGCGAATGTCAGTGATTTTAAAGTCATTTTGAGTGATAAATAATTTTTTTTTTTGCGATCATTGCACTTGCCTGGTGGGCGAATACTAATACCGGATATTTCATAGGATGATATTTGTATCGATTTAAAATAGCAATACCAGGATATTTCATTGGACGGTATGTCCAAATACAGCTGAATGGATCTGAAATATAAAACACATTTAAAGGCAAATATCTATTCCATTGTCTTTATATCACTCTTAAACTTCCAGCCACTAAATGGCAGTGTACCTCCCAAAAGCCAAGTACTTAGCCACAGCAGAGAAACAAGAAGGTTTTACAGAGTCATATCAATGAGTAAGCATAGAGGAACAAATACAAAAACCCTCAAACATGTGCTGTGCTGTGTAGCAGGATTGCTAATTTATGTGGGAAGGAAAGCTAACGCTGCACACTAGCCTAGATTAACAACAGTGAGGCATGGTGGTGGCAGCATCATTCATCCAGACAGGGAAGCTGGTCAGAGCTGTTAGGAAATGAAAGACGTTCTAAAGGAAGGGTGGGCTTAAATTACAGTCTATAGATGTGTGAAACTGCCAAAGATGCTTTCAGAAGGCTTGTAGGGGGTATTGCTGTGAGAGGTGGAAAGCTTTGACACAGGATGTATTAATGCTCACAGTGCAAGTATTTAAAGATCCATGAAAGTATATAACATTAAATCGTTTCTCTATATCACTGAAATTAATGAGTGGATTTTCCCAAACCTTTCAGTGTGTGATTATTTCTTGATGTAAGAGTAATTTATGCGAAGGATTTGAACTCAGCATTGACCAAAACATGTTTAAGGTGGAGTAGTTACAAATCTCTGTAACAAAGCTCAGCTAAGATTAGATATGACTTCTGAACACAATCATTTCCAAATATTCTCACAGCTTGGAGGAAAAGGGCTTTTAAGATAAATTACTTTATTCTATATATCAATGAAAAATTATCATTTGAAAGGCTGGTAGCTCATGATGGATGAAAAATATATATCATTGCCGCTACGGAGTGGTATTTGTTCCACTATTTTTGCAAGCAAAGAAGATATTTTGTAAATTGAAATTTGAAGAAAATTCAATCCAGATATGTAACTTTGAAAAACATTTGAATCAAAAAAGGGTTTAGAGAGAAACTTTGCTGGTTTTGCTGCAAAAGTTTTTACTCTGAATTTATTTTACTGATTTTATATTTTACGTTCTTTATTTATTTTTCAATTTACTAGTTTTATAAATTGCTTTCTTTTCAAGTTGCGTTTTATGGAAGCGGGTTTTTATGGAGTGAGGAGAGAAGATACGTTACTATTGGGCTGCATGGATGTTAGCAACATTTTTATTTGTCAAGAGCGAGTGTTTGTTTTTGCTTTGAAGTGAAGGGAGTGTGATTTGTAAAACAAAATTTGAAAAACAGGAATTTCAAGAAAAAAATAAAAATACAAAAATCAAGACAATAAAATTTGAAAATATAAAATCTGACAGTTTACTATCAGAGCCTTTTTTAAGTTAAAAAACATTTTCAAAGTTTCTTTTCTCGATTGCAGTGTTTTTTTTAATTTTATTTACAAAACATGTTTTTTTTTTGTTTTTTTTTTTTTGCTTGCAACAATAATGGAACAAAATTCACTCCATATTCTGGAAGCTGAAGACAGTGTCACTGAACCTAAATTAAGTTTTTCTGTGCAATAATCTGGGCCAAACTGGAAACCATTTAACTGCCTTGATTGTTAAGTAACTTTATTTATTTTTTTGTGAATTTTCCCAAATAAGAGAATCTGATAAAAGAATAAAAAATAAAAAAAATAAACAGTTGTTGAGAAGCCTAGACTTTTTTTTTTTAAATCGTTTGATTCTTGGCATCAAAAGTAGGTTACTACACTCACTGTGCTTTCAGTGCATCATGTGAATACAAATCAGGTCGTTCATTGTCAACGACACATTCTCTGTAGTTATTCAAGTGGAACTAAAGAGAAAATCGTGCTTTCACCTCATCCTGCTCTTCCCACCATCATGGGTGGCTGCCAGCTCCTGCTGGCTCTTACTAACCCAGTGCTGAACGCATATGTTCGCTGTAAGCATTTCCATTTAACATTTCCTGCATTACACCAAAATGGGAGAGAAAAAAACAACAAATTTGGTTCAGATTTCATTTATTTAAACTGCTGCTCTAAGAAATGTAATTAAATGAAGAAGAAAAAGCAGTGCTTTGGATAAATTATATTATTTATTACATTAAGCTGAGAAAAATGTAGGGAATACTTTAAATGAGGCACTCATTTAGTTCCTATGGGTCAGTAATGGTCACCATAGAAAGAGCTCCTCACCTGGGTTTTTTAAAACGTTTTCATAAATGGATGCCACAATCAGAGGCATCCTCCTTTTTCTTAGAAGTAGGTCAGCATTCCAGCGGTTATATAAGGATTAGGTAAAATGAAACAGCCCAAATAGCATTTACTCTCACGTGCCATTTAAAGGACCGGGAGTTTGACGACAGAATGAAGCCGTTTCATCCCATTTTGCCTGGAAACAGATGACTCCAAAGCAAAATGGATTTAAGGTTTGCGCGAGTAGGTGAGATGGGAATGTGACTGGAAACTGAAGGAGGTAAAACGCTAAGCCGCAAGCTTTGGCGGTCAACTTTTTAAATATGTCTGGTGAAAATAAGTATGTAAGTTTGTTTTTTGGAAATATGCAAGAAATAGAGCAGAAGTATAGGGTTACATCTTTAAATCCCTGCATTTCGGTATTCCTACCACCCCCATTTCCACAGATGGATTAAACCCAGCCCATGGGCTTTATCCGGGTCTACAGAGCTTAAAGAAATAATGGGTCATTCTCAGGATAAGATTCAACCTGTGCAGTTAAACTAGTTGTGACATTTTTTTGGTCCTCAAACAATTCTTTTTGTGATTTCACATGAATAATGGAGCAATGGGTCAGAGAGCCTTGGTTGGATTTTATAACAAGAGGGGAACATTTACATTCTCTGGAGTAGTTAATCATGTTTTTCTGTTGGCAGTTGCCAAGAAAATGGTGTTAATCAGACTGTATTGTGTCAAATGTAAAGTTTTTATGGTAGGTTACATCTGTTCAGGAGTTTGGCTTGACACTTTAATTCTAATATAATAAACCCTTTATGCTGCCACATAGTGATACATCTAAAGGTCCTGTATTGGAGTTTCATCCTAGTAAGACAGCCTATGAGAAAAGCTGCAAAACTCACTGATTAAAACCTCAAACTGTCACATTGGGCTTCCTAGGAAGATCTCTAACCCCACAATTCTCCCTGGGTGCTGCAAGCTGTTCACTGTTCCCTAAGGAATGGGTTAAGCAAAGGACACATTTTATTGTAATGTACGACTACATTAAAAAATTAGAGTGATTATTTTACCTACTATTCAAAACGTATGTATTTGGATCAGGCCCAGTTCCAACATGACCGCGCACAAGTGTCCTATAGAAAACCTTTAGATTATATACGGAATGAGAAAAATGACTGTTAGCCAGAACCTGTTATTCAACATTAGTATCTGACATTAAAAGTGCATTTCGGAAATAGACAAAGTTTCCCACACATGAAGACCTTCTTACCAAAAGGACGTGTCGAGCATCATTATATTAAACCCACTTTAGGCATTTCAGGGACTTTTCCCTGAATTTTTGCACAAGCACACTTTATAGATCCCTCCCTGTTGCTAATTGATGTAACGCAACTGAACTGGACCATGCGAGACACAACCGAACCACGCTAAATCTAGTTGAACTATAGTGCTAGGCACGGTTCAGTTGTGGCTTGGTTCTCTGACAAAAATTACCCCATTTACACTACCCTTGAAAAACCGATCCATGCCGAGACCGGTCCGAGCTTGGATCTTA